CATAAACCATACATTATACATCTTCACCGTATACATTAAAAGTCCTGAAGCCAATTCAATTCAAAAATGTTCAACAGAAGAACGACTCTGCTGTAAGAAAAAAGTGGGCTGGATCACAACTTTTAGAGGTTTCTTATTACATTTTTTATACTACTATCCTATTGGGGGGGGTGTAAACTAAATATTGCACCATAATATTTCTTAGTATGACATTGTGTCTCCACAGCTACTAATTGTTTTTGGTTGTCTGTAGAAGTAGTGCGGTGTTTGTGAACAGCACCACCAACATTGGGGATGGGTTCAGTCCTACAGCATCCCCTTCAACACCCAAACTCCCACTTCAATAAGTTGTTGGTTGAATGCTTTACTTTTAACTTCTGCATATAGCTTTGTTATTGTAGAACACATTCTCTGATAGTATGTGTTATGCATTTTTGTTTAAAACAAAAACAGAAATAACATTATATAAAAGTTTAAAAGATTTCCTCTGATGTACATTGAACTCAGATTTGAACCAGTTTTGCAAGGTTTATCACTCATTTCCTCACATAGTTTTAGTTCACTAATATTAATAGATTGTCCAGTGAGCATCATGGAATCGTACATAATCTGCTCTTAGTCTTCATTAGATGTCTTAATCTATGAATTGTGTATTCTGAAAAAATATGTCACTTGGTAAAAGATATCTGAAGAGTTACTTTGACTTACCAGATAACGTGGGCACAGTCCAAATCCTAAGTAGGCGAATAAAATAAATGAGGTCAGCTGGTATTGGTGGGTTGCTGAAATTGGCAATGCAATGTGCAACCATCAGTAATTGTATCGCAGTTCACTGATTGACCCTCACTGATTTTCTCGGTTATCTAGCTAACTCAGTTTATCCATTGGTAGGACTAAAAAATGTCGTAGACGCCATAGTAAATGCATGAACAGGAACTTTGTATTTCTCTTCTGTGACAGTGGATACAAAAACAACTTTCAGTAACTATTATGCTTATCTAGCCACACTACAGCCAATTGGAGTAACTTAACTACCCCTTATAGCATGCACTTCACTGTACTTCTTTTTGTTAAAAACATTGTAACTATATAAATTTATATAATAGTGTTGTCTTGATAGAGTAAAAGTATCCACTTGAAAACGAGATTGTTAATCTCAAGGGGTTGTTACTAATAAAAATAGTAAGTGCTCATAGCCTTAAGTAAAAGTAGTAATACTACACTGTAAAAATACTCTGTTACAAGTAAAAGTCCAGCATTAAAAATGTTACTTAAATAAAACATAAGTACAATCGGAAAAATGTGCTTAAAAATATGCATTAATGTAAAAGCAGTGTTTTACTCTTGTAGTTGGTTGAGGTGAAGCTGATTTTTAACTATTGTGCATCAAACTGCCACTAATGATCATTTTTAGAACATTTATAAATAGTAAGAAATGGCATCAAAGTGACACCTTCACAATGCTTGTTTTGTCCAACCAATAGTGCAAACCTCAGAATTATTAAAAAATAAATTAAAATTATTAAAGTAATTAAAAAGAAAAGCAGCGGATCCTCACATTTTTGAAGCGAGAACTATTAATTTTTAAAGTAGTTGCAGGTTAATCCCCTATCAGATTCAGTGTGTGGGTAAGATAAAATTCATGCTGTGGTTAAGAATATATCCACACCTGTATGGCAAAATACTGGACTTCTATGACATTCCTGGTGGATATCATAAAGCTTCCAGCTGCTTTTAAAATATCCTTTGCGCCTTCATAGCTCCGAAAACTCAATGGGCAATGAATGTGTTATCTCTTGCTCTGGGTCATTTTTGGTCTTACTGGGTTGCTGAGATTATTTGCTTGTCTGTATTTATTACTGGACTGACATTTGCCTCCCAATACTTTAATTGAGTAAATCAGGTTTCATTTTGCTAAAACTTTAAAATGTCAGTGAAACAACTAAGAAGAAATATAACTGACCAGTATTGATGTTAAATGGCCAATTTGTCTAAGATGCTATTGTTAATATTATTCTTCAACACCTCGGCATTCCAGATCCTATACAAGGGAACAAAGTCTTATTTTGATTGTACCCGAATTTATATAAACACAATGTTCTCACACAACAACAAACAAACAAAAATATGTAATGTGTATCTGAAGCTTGATGTGTCTGTGGCAACACTCCAAATATAGTTTCTTTTTCCTGCATGACAAACTCTGTTTGATTGTTCAATACAGTCCTTTATCCAGCAGAAATGCCTAAAACATTAGCTGCTTCCATCTTCTCAAATGTGAGGATTTAATTCTTCTGTTTAAATATCTTTTTAAACATTGTGGACCCTGGAATGACGAGTTTTGAATGAATGGGTTTTTATCTTTATCAACTACATGTTCTAATTATTATGTTGACATGCTTGATGGAAGGGAATTGGATTTGAATGAAACCCTCAACCTTAAGTGCTTAAAGTTTCTCGCAAACATTACATTTGAAATTGTATTATAATTGACATTTTCAGGATTTTCACAATATACTGGTGCATATCGACTTCATCGAGAGTTGGTTTTTGTTTGGTTTGCACAACCAAAATGTAATGAAAGACCAAACCAAGTTATGAGCATCCATCAGTTAGCAAACACTGTAAATTATAACCATTTTATTTAAAAAATATATGTTTTGAGGGGAAAATGTTTTTTTTTTTTTTCCAGTTTGGCACATCTTATCCACTATACAGATATGAAATTGTACATAATACAATACAAAAGGAAAATGGGAAGAGAAAAGCATTCATTTTGCACAAAGAGGTTGGGTAAGAGAGAGGGGATTGGTTCACTTGTTTTTTTTTTTTGTTTTTTTATTTTTAGGCAGGGTGGGGACCAGGGCTAGAGGATGACAAGAGGAAACAAAAACAGTTTACAAAGAGCCAGAGTGCAAAGGGATGCATATTTCTACAAATTTTGTGGATTTCCAGTCACTTAGTACAACCGTAGTCTTAAACAGTGAAATGTCAAATGATTGGCAAAACTTTATAGGAATTCCACATACGTCCCCATTCTTGGTGTAATCAAAAATGAGGTGTCTCCATAATGTTTGCTGAATGACATTAAGAAATATTCAACTCAATTTTGACTTTTGAACATGCAAGACAGATTAGAAGGGCAATAGTAAAAGCAGTGCGAAGCTGGAAGAAAACAAAATTAGAAACAAAGTGGAGGTGCTTGGCTTTGGAAATTGGTATGATCAGTGAATGCAATGTTTTTCTTTAAATTCAAACGTGAAGTGTAACAATTTTTGGTTTACACAAACACTTTCTTAGAAGTTGTTGTAGGCATCCTATGAGCATGTGCAGAGAGACATTGACACAAGCATCCATTTAGAAGTTCAAAGCCAATTTTTGACAGGCTCAGTAGAGAAACAAAGCCACAAATGGTACCTCCTGGTTACCACTAGGGGCAATATCCATCGAACTGCATCCTAATTTCTCCAAACCATATATCTTGCTATGCTATGCTATCAGAAGTGTCTTGTTGTTTAATTGCTGAACATAGCCTAAAGTTGAACTGTCAAAAAAATTGCCATATATTGATTTCCTTTATGATTATTCCCTCATTCCATTATGGTTTCCAGTGTTAAAAATTTGAGAAATTGACACTCTGATTTCCAACTTAAAGGATTTTACTTCAGTTATTCACTGGTCAAAGACTGATTAGCCCATCAGTAGACATGTAATGAAATTGTTGCTGCTGTGTGGTTAGTGTGCATTTAAAACCCAAGGTGCTGTCAGTCAGTATTTATTTTTCCATTATCTACTACCGTTACTTGGCCTGAAAGATTGGTTGGTTGGTTTTAATAAAAACATTACCCCGTAGTTGCCCCTTTCCATCGTCCCATCAATTCCTCTCAATCCCTCTCTCTTTCACCCTGCCCCCACCACCAAACTGAACACAAAGAAGTGCGGAGCTGCGGCAGCAGCTTTAGTCTGATGCTAATGCACATCCTCTCCCTGCTGCATACAAATGTCTCCTGACCCAGGCTTGCTGTTTGCTTATCACTGGATCTCCATTTGCTTTCAGGGTATTGACCGCAGTTTAACTTGACACTTGTGACTGCTAACCAAGGAACTGTTGTTATAATAATTATTACTGACTGTAACCCTGTTTTTAAGACTGCAAATGACAACTCTGTATCCCTAACAAGAACAATGTCTTAAAGTAAGAGGTTCAATGATGTTTTTGTGTGGTGCAGAGGATGATTTTGCTAGAAATATTTTTGAGTGGCTGAACAAGCTAAATGTTGCTGGATCACTGGTGTGGGTGACAGAATATTAGATTCTTTTTGCCTTGCCTTAATTGGTTCAATCTTGAGCCTGTCAGTCCTGATTAGTGTGTAAGCAGTAAAGAGCCTAGGCTACTGGGAAAGGTTTTATTTTCAGAATGAAATGCTCTCCTGTCTGGCATTTGCGCTGTTCATTACCCTTTTACTTGCTACCCTCACACTAGCTCGTCTGTGTATTGATCCTGGTATATAATGGCAAATCAGCAAACTGTACTTACTAGGTTTAAGCTGTTGGAAATATTATGGTCACAGTGTGAATGGCATTTGGGTGCTAGAAAATCCATGTACAGGTCATTGTACATTTGAAGGGTCTAATAATTTTGTTCTTGATGTCCAAGTGAGGACGACATCTATGTGGTTTTGCTAATCAGTGCAGTATATTTGAGATTAACCACAGATAAACAATGCTTAGTGTTTCCCACAGGTTGAGAATTTATTTATGGCGTTCGGCCCTTGTGGGTGGGAGCTCTAACATCCAACAACTTGGGTCTGCTGCAAACAGCATTGCATTTACGTGCTAAGTTCTGATTAAAGAGGTAATTTTTTCAATATATAAATTAACATAAATTCACTCTTTTGGCAGTTAGTAGTATTTCCAGAAATCCAAATTTCCCAAAACAGAAAACAATCCCTTTTTTGCTAAGGAAAGGACAGCTGTTTTTGGGGTGGGCTGCCCAAATAAATTCTGTAAACAGGAAACGCAGAGTGTTTTGATCTGATGGAAGGCTGTAGACTTTCCTAATTGACTAATGTTTGATTTGGTAAAAGTGATATCATTAGTGTATACTGAACAGGATTTCAGGGTTTTTCTCTCCTCAACAGAGAACTCATTTTTAGTTGTAAAATAATAACAATAATGACATTTATTTTTATTTATAATTCGGAGTTAGATTTTGGTCTTGGTGGCCATATTGAAAACAATGAAACTATAAATCAAAAACATTCTGATAATTGATCCAGTTAATTTGCCCCAGTGATTAAGTGATTGGCTTGAACTGCCTGTGGTGCAGATAGAAACATGATTTCAAATATTTACTTTTTAAAAGAAATAAGACATAAATCACATTTCTCCACATAATGTATTCCGTTAGCAGAGGGCCATTTGGCTAAATATTTTCTCTGTGCTGCAGAATATAGAGACAATGTGGAGACAAATCTCACAGTTTACAATTTTCTTGTTTAAAATGATTGCCCTTGCCTGATATGAACAACCTTGCATTCATAGAAAAATAAATTTGTGACTATCTCATCATCATCCCTAAACTGTCATGTCCAACCCCTGTCATTGTTGCATTCATCATTTCTCACATATTCTCAAATCTCACTTGTAGAAATTATGCTTTTTACATAAACTGGAGGGGAAAAAAAGCAAAAAAGCAAACCCTGTATCATCTGAAATGGTCAAATGGCAAAACCATATGCTCTAGGAATAAATAAGAGTTCATACTTCACACTCTTTGTAAGGCAGTTGCTGACACTTGCACTGCCCATAGCCATTGATGATCACGAGTGCCCCTTCTTCATGGCTGGGCTCATACTCATTATAGGGTACCTGTGTAGCTAGATCTGCCATTGGCTGCCGCTGCTGGGTCCTCATCTGTCTGCGGTTCTGAATAGCCGAACAGTGGCGTATCCGGCGCAGGGTGGGAGGGCAGCACTTCCGTGAGATATACACAACGAAAATGATGAAAAAGAATGAAAATAGAAGGGCCATAGTTCCAATGATAACCCTATGAGTCATAACAGTGTTGTCCATTGCCGTGGAGTCATCCGTTACAGCTGCCTCTTCAAATGTAGCAGTAGTTGCTTGAGCAGTGCGTGGTGTTTGTGTTGTGGTTGTTGTGGTAGTGACTGTGGTAAAGCTCCCAAAATCCTCTGCATAGTCCTGTGTGGGGGTCGGCTGCATAATTCCAAACAAGGAGCTTGTTATCTCTGCAGCTATAGTAGCGTCTGTGGTTGTACTAATGGTCTGAACAACAGGCGCTGAAAAATTCTGGCAAAGCTGGAATCCATAAACAGCATCAAGTATCTCCTCACCTTGGGCATATTCAGGACTATGGCAGAGAATGGAATGTTCCCACCTTCCCTTAAAGGTGCTTAGCCAAGTGGCCAGAGAGCAAATCCTTTTGGTACATTCCCAAAGGTTGCTAGACAGCCCAATGGTACCCAGAGACTGCCACATATCCATGACTTGAGGATCCAGACTGCTTAGTTTGTTGTTATCCAGCAACAAAATCTTTAAATTTGGCAGCGTTTGAAACACATCAGGTGTCAGGACACGAATTTCATTTCCTGTGAGGTCCAGTTTCTCTAAAGTGGTCCAGGTCCACTCCATGCCACATGTTAGGTTGCTGATCTTATTCCACTGCAGATACAGAAACTGGAGGGCAACAAGGCGAGGGAAATGGGCCAAGTTGATCTTGGTTAGCTGATTGTGCTCCAAGTGGAGCTCTTTAAGCTTAATGAGCCCAGCAAATCCATTCCGAGCCAGGCTCCGTAGGCGGTTGCTGCTTAGGCCCAGATATTCCAGGCTGCGGCAGTCCCAGAATGCTCGAACAGGTGTGGTGCGAAGTAAATTGGAGCGGAGGTGGAGTATCTGGAGCTTCCTTAGTCCATGAAACAGCTCTGGTTCCAATGCAGTCATCTGATTGAAGGACAGGTCCAGTATCTGGAGATTGATGAGGTGGATGAAGGTTGTGTTGGGCAACTTGGTGATACGATTGGAACTCAGATTGAGGTCCTTCAGCTTGTAGAGACCTTGAAAGGCATCCTCTTGTACTGTGGTAATCTGGTTGTGGTCTAGATGTAGCCAGGTGAGCTGGCTGAAGCCATAGAATTGATCAGGACTGAGCTCAGTGATGCTATTGTGGCGTAGTGACAACCCCAGGGCCCCCTTGTCCACACCATCTGGGGGTGCCTGAAGCCCCTGGGTGTCGCAGTAGAACTGCAGGTCCTCACAGCGGCATTTTTGAGGGCAGGTTGTGCACGATGCAGGAGGCAGCAGGCACACTAGGAGCATGCTTATCACACACAGACACAGAGCCGCTGGTGCAGGTCCCACCAATGGCCACCTTGAATGGAAACCTGGGTGGGTTCAAAGATAAGAAAATGAACTGTGGGGCGGGAAAGCTTATCTCTGCAGAGCACTTATTACTAATTCATGGTGACGATTGTGCTTTTTCTGTATGCTATCGTTCTTTCCCATGCATATATCAGTTGATATTTTACATTGACAACTTTCACTGTGTGTATAAACATGATTTCTTTGAGCTTAGGTTTAATGGAGATGTCCTTTATTTAGGCATCTAATAATCAGTTACATACATGAGCTGGAGTTTGTTTCCACTCCCCTGCTATTTATATTTAGCCCATTTTGGGCTTAAATTCAGATTTTCTGCTGATTATTGTCATTCATTTACCAATCATTACTGTATGTTTTTTTCATTTTTGAGCAGCTCAAATATGGTGTGACCATTTGAATTCTTAGCTTTTTTAACCGAGTTTTTTCCAAAGTCTTCCTAATCACTTAAGAGGTCTGCTATACAATACAAATGGTATTTAAAATGAGTATATGCCCTACGCGTGTGTCGTGTGGTGAAGAAGGAAAAATGAAGGACAATTGCAGTAAATAGACTAGGCTGAAGAGCTTTTAGTCTCTAGCCTCCCTCGCTCTTACTTGTATTCCCTATTCATGTCCAGACCTGCCATATAAAGGGGCTAACTTACCCATTCTTTTGTGCACATCGGAGGCTGCATTCAACTGTCCTTTTCCGCAGACTCTTGGAGCAACCAGATGGAAGAAAAATCCAAAGGGAAAAAACCCTTTTGAGTAAGCACAAAAGGAATCAGCCTCTTTGGAAATAAAGCAATTCTGAGCCCACCCAATTGAAACAAAATAAGAAATTCCATGTCACAAGATGATGTTTATTTCCGTTATTTTGCTTAGAGTCCTTTTTAAAATCCAAGCTCAAAGAGAGGGTTGAATCTTTTCCTTCATCCCAAAAATCCTTGAAATAAATATTTATATATTTTTTTTAAGTTGATCAGTTGCATCCAGAGCGACTCCGGTGAACAGATCCCCCCCTCCTCTCTTTTTTCTTTTTCTTTTTTTTACCCTTTTGTTTCCCTTCCACCGCAATGATGTCAGCTCAGATGGTTAATTGAAGATCAAGCGTTCCTCTTTCATGGCTGTGGTCTTCCAACCCTAACTTGTTGATGGCAGCCAGAGATCCTGCTTCCAACGCCGGCTCAGTCTCAGCATAGCCTCTGCAGAGCTGTGAGCGGAGCCCTCGTCTGCTAGCTGAGACGCAGGGAGAGAGAAAAAAGCAGAGCAGGGAGTCAGGGATGTTATTCTGTGCTTTTTGTTGCAGCCACTCACTGCTACAGAGTGGTGGCAGCCTGGCGTCGATCATCACTACTGTTTCTCTCTCTCTTTTTCTCTCCCACACTCACAAACACCCTCTCACTCTCTTGCTCAGTCACTTGCTCTCTGCCTCATACACACTGCTTGTGCACCTCAGTCTTCCTCCACCTCCCTCTCGCATCCCCCCTTCCCTCCCACTGGCTCGTCACCATCAGAATATTGATATCTTGAACGTGTTGCGGCAGCTTGCTGTTGAAATTAACCACAGCTGTAAATCTCAGCCTCGCCTTGCTGCTGTTCTGCATGCACTATGTATGAATGTATATCAGAGACATAAACAAAATAACACAACAAAGCAAAATATAGTTTGTAACGTGTGGCTCTAGACAACATAAACATCAGCATGGGTGAGCAAAGGTGTGCTGCATTGCCAAATCTCTGTGCAGGAGCAAGTATGCTATAGCAATGGTAACATTGGGTGTCTGGCTTATATTCATAATTTACATATCCTGAGTGCAGTGCTTTAATTTTTGAGCACTTGCATGTGATGTATGGCCAGCTGCTCTGAAGTTAAATTAGGCTAGCTTTTAACATGTAATTGACAGGGCCGGGATACTTGTTTGATGGTGTGAACCACAAGGTGATATCAAAGTAACTAAATTGCTGTTAACATGATTTTTTTTTTTATATTGAGCAAATGGATTTGATTAATGGTTTTGTCGAAAGAAAAAGGCTATATTTCAGAACCATTTTGAGTGCTTAACAGAATGTGATGTCTGTAGTTGTATGAAAATGCAGACTTTTCCTTGTGACCAATGTGGGTGGAGATGGATGTTAGGGTAATTGCAATGAACCAGATTTGAAGCAGCCATAAACAAGGTACAAGAGACAGTTTAAAGCTGTTGTCTTTAACTTTGTCAACCTTGTATTTCACTTAAGTATCTTTTACTTAAACATGACCTCAGATTGCTGGAACCCGCCACAACCCTCTGATTTTTAATATTTATAAATACTATTTATAATGTATTACTTCAATTACCTTACTGTGAAGTTATTTGATATGCATTTTAACTGTTGTTGCACCTTGTTACAAACAATAAATTTTACTGTAAAGCAGCAGATTAATAATCCTGGGGGAAATTACTTAAAGTATTTCTGATTCTGATTAATATATTTTTTTTATCATTTGAATTTGTATGAAAAGCTTTAAAATGATTATTGTATACTCCTTAATTAATTTTATTACATAATTCTCCAGTCTTAAGACAACACATATATCTGGCTGTGATTATCCAGGTCACTTGACCAGCATTCTGCTGCTGTTCTCCAAATGTTTTATTGTAGACTATATCTCCTGCTGGGACTCTTCTGCAGGATGTGAGAGTGGAAAACATGGAGATAAAATGCTTAAATCTCAAGGGGCATGGTGGATATTTCCTGTATTTGATGTGTGCTAGCTTTCCATTTGGAGTTCATGATGTTTAAAAAGCTTTTTTAAAAGAAAAAGTGGGAAATTGTGAATGGGCGTCCAATTAAGTGAACTTGCTGACATATCAAAAAACAATATTGTAGAACTCTGTGATCATTTGATACTTGGAGCATACTTTTTCCATTGAATTTTTCCGTAATCCAGCGGACTAGTGGTTTTGTAGAAAAGGGATGTTCCTAAATCTGTCCTAAAGGAGATGGATAGAGACTCACTTGAGTATCATAAAAGATGCCGCAGAGAAACTGCCTCCATAATAAGCACCTGAAGAAGTGCTTTAGAACCCTCTGGCGTGGAAATGAAATATAGGCTAGGCGTGAATGAAATAGGATTGAGAGAGTAGGGGCACAGCAGATTAAAGCCCTACCGCACCACTGCATCCAGCCGGCACAAAATCACAGGGGATTAGTGCCGTTGGAGCTCCTTGGCCCCAAACTATGTAAACAACCCCCCAATGGGCAAAGGGCAGTGGGGGATGGGGCAGGTCAATGCCACCACCGTCCATGGTGTTATGTCGCAGTTGATTTGAGCATTACAAGGGGGATGAACAGCCCAGAGTCCAACTGGTTCTTTGCCTTTTCTCTGTTGCCCTTTCCTGTTCATTTAATTTTGCTCTAATTTTGTTATTCTCCAGTATCTGTCCCTTTATCTACATTTCTCCCTCACTTGTTCTCTCTCTCCATCTATCCATCCTTCCAGAAAGTTTTTAGGTTTTCCCTATTTTCGCTTGAGTGGTTTGCAGAATGTGACTGAACATCTCTCTGCTCTCAGTGGGGACTGGTGGTTAGGGCTTTGAAGACAGCGTAGCACTTAGCTGTGTGACTACTGCCAGTGGTGTTGCCATATTACTGTACATAATTTACACAGTTAGTCATGTATAGTGAATTGTAACCTTTTAATCAACAACATTTCTCATTGAAGATGAGAAAAAATACACATGTGGAGGAAGAGATTATTTTCGGTGTACCGAAGTTATCAGCGATTAACATTTTTACCGCTGCAACAATAGACCATATACATTTGAGTACATATTTCTTCCTCTTAGTTGTGTGTCCCCCCCAAAAAAAAAAGAGCAGAGCTTTTTGAAAATGCTGATGTGATTGTCAACGTTTCCCAAACGTGGTCTAAGTGCTTTTGCTTAGCAACAATGTTAGGAAATCTACTCTTTCACACAAGCCAAGACAGTCCTTGCTCTGTTGAACTGTGTTTCTAGGGTTTCTATTGGGAGCCATATTTAATGGGGGAAAAAAAGGAAAACGCCCCAAAAAAACTATTCCAAATTAGGGATGCCCAAACCAGTTCTATTTGTCCCTTACCCTTATGTGAGCGCTTAAAGATTCAGACCTGCCAATACTATGTCCAGTTTTCTTATTTCTACATGTTTGACATCTCAATAGCTGTGCATTAAGAAACCAAAGCCTGCACCCCAGGATGACTTTAAATGGTTTACTGTAATATATTGTATTGTGTTCTGTATGATACCCATGAAGAGAAATGTGGTGGAAGGAAGGTTTGGACAGGATTTGGATAGCCCCTCTTGATCCCTGCATTAATAAAAATTTGGATTTCAATGCAGTTTTGCTACAGTAGCACTTAAGGGTGTGGTGCCCATGAATTATAGCACTGATATAGATGCAAATCAGCTGTTTTTTAACCCAAAGCAGCAGTTCCTTTTATTGATGCATGCTTTCAGTTTGTGTATATTATTAATTGAAACTGTTGGCCCACTGTTTGTTTGTGTGCTTCATGATTCACTTGCAATGCTATGTTAGGAAATGGTTCCAATGTTTTAAGAGAGGGCAGTGGGTCGCTTTTGACAGCTGGTCTACCCAGAGCACAATGGTTTACGATAAATAAAAGGATCAGGAATGGATCTGGCTGGATATCTGAACACCAGCTGCACTACAATTTGAAGATCACTTTCACTCTCGCTAGAATGTGTTACATATAAATGAATAGATGAATGAATACTAGTCATATTTTTGTGTCTTGTCATTTACATAATATATAGATGAGAGCAGCCATACCTCACTTGTCTGTCTTCAGAACAACACGCCCCCTTTTGGGTGAAACAAGCACTGTAAAAGTACCTAGTGGTACTATGCCTAGAATCTGCTGCGTCGGATTTTGCACATAAAACAATTAAAAAAGCCATTTTATGATGTTCTTTACTTTTTTAATCAACGAAGCAAAATAAAAAGATCTGTGGCTTTAGGCAATCCACAAAGAAAAATGGTAAACTGTGGAACCAAGACAGTCAATATGCGTCTGTCTGTGAAAAACATTTCATCACAGGTTAATTAAAGATGTTACTGAGTAAATGACATGTGGTGATTGTAACTGTAGATTGAAGAGAATCAGAAAAGAGGCTTAGTGATGGTGTAACTTAATTTTTTACTGTGAAAAAAAATATGAACCATAAAACACCTGCTTTTAGATTTAGCTTGGTTTGACAGTGTGGATCAGAGGGTATTTTAACCTCAATAATTCACACAAACTGAGCTGACCTACCTTCTATTAATGAACCTTGTAAGCAGCAAAAAGTAATGTAGGAAGTGGAGATAAATTTGACCTCTTTTCTACTTCTGTCGGCTCGTAGATCGATTAATAAACATAAATGGTGGTTCTGCTTCGCCACAACAATGTAATTTGTTCACAGTAACGTCACATTGGACACAAGAAAGCAAATGCAAGTGGGCTTAATAGGAAGCAAAGGAGAGAGATACATGACTGTGTCTGCAGACATTCTGATTGACAGAATGTATTCAATTCTGGTCCTTACACTCGTCAGAGTTATGTGAGCATCCACAACAATTATGTTAAAAACATAATTGTCACTGCACCATACTACTCACTAATTCCTCTCCTATGTTCATCTTTCAGGCTGGAAGGAAGGACCGGAGTGATGCTCTGAACACAGCCATCGACAGGATGACCAAGAAGACCAGAGACCTTCGCAGACAGGTTTGTTTTTTCCCATCCTGATTTATTTATTTTTTGATCAGTCTCTATCTTGCACATAACTTCTGTGTTCATGTTGAGCTTTTAATGTATCAAAAAGTTTTCTTTCATCGAACATTTCTATATTTTGGCTGATATAGTTGACTACCTATCCTCTATGGCTGGTGTCTGTCTTGACTATAGAGGGAAGATGTACTATTACGTCGGATCAACAAGCTGTACTGAAGATGTCCGTGCATATGCACAAGTTGATACATGGTTTTAACACCGCCTTTTCTTTTGTTTTAATTTCTTACTTCACAGCTGCGTAAAGCTGTAATGGACCATGTCTCTGACTCTTTCCTGGAGACCAATGTTCCCCTCCTGGTCCTGATTGAAGCTGCCAAGAATGGCAACGAGAAGGAAGTCAAAGAATATGCACAGGTGTTCCGTGAGCACGCCAACAAGCTGATCGAGGTAATGTTGGATTTTGAATGCTTTCACACTCAAAACCTGATGTGACCCAAATACAGCACATTCACATTTTTTCTTCCTGTCTGTTATGGACATTTCAGCTTAGTTTATAGTAAAAACCAGTCTTCATCCAGTTTCTCTGTTCATTCTCTGTGGCTCTGTTCTCAGCGATTCCCTCATGATACAACTTTAGGATTACGCTACAAAAACAGCAATCTGGGATTTTTTTTTTTCCCCAATAAAAACAAAGCCGTAAACATTGAAATTATTTTTTGAGGTCGCTGTCTTTGTCTTTCATTTGTGTGTGTTTGTCACTCTCTCACATACACACACGCTCTAAAAGCGTTTTCTAAACTGAAGGCAATGCTGATTCTAATCTGATGCTGTGATGTTACAGCCGACAAACAGAACATTGCTGTGGTTGTAGCAATAGATCACATTTTTAAGCAGAACCAAAGGAGTGGAACAACCACAACTCAAGGATAAGTCAACATGCTAACACACACATCAGCTGTACTCATTAGTAATAATGCCTGTGTCAGAGCATCATATTCTGACATTTGAGGTGACTTCTCCCCATGGGCAGATGATCAAGAATGTAGCTGGTTTGGTTGGTCCAGTAAAAGCAGGGCAGCCTAAGCAGTTACTGGTAAATCGCTGCAGCATCAGAGAGAAAATGGGAGCACACTGGGGAGTAGACCCTGAAGTAGCTCCTGAAGGCATGAGTGTCAGAAGTGGCATTAGAGCATGACATTGGTTGACTCCCCTAATGCTCCGTAACTACATCTGCTTATAACACACAAAGAAACACAATTTGTTTAAAAAACAACTTGTTACGGATGAATGACAAAACATTTTTTTTAGTTGTCAGATGCAGTTGGATGTGATGAACTTGAAATGAACTTGAAGACATTAGCATTGAAATAGGCAGTGTTGTGTGGTGTCCATCTAAGCGTATAGTAGATTAAGGCCTAGAAATTGTTTTTAGCTGCAAAAGTGACAAATGGAACAAACTGTCTGCAAAAAACAACATAAAGTTCCAGTTTACACTAGTGTGTCTTTTAGCTCATATATTTTATAACCTTCCCAATCCTCATGTGTGTGAAGTGGAACTAAAGTGCTAACTCAGCCTAAATCTTACTAAAATAGTCATCAGCAAAATAATATTTTGTCACACATAAATTAGGAATGGTACTGACATATCTGAGGAGCACCACTGAATAGCTGAAAGTGCTGTGCTGTGTCATTAGAATTGACCAAACTTGAGTTCTGATATTCAAATATAATGCAAGGTGTTTTGCTTTGTTAATTTGTCACTAAAGCTAGGAGAGACAAAATATTTTGTAACACGCTGATTAAGAAAAACAGAATGTATTTCAGACATTAGTGGTGTAAACACGAGTCAATTGAAAACAGTAAAATCAAGATAACAGAACACAGTATGGACACAGGCTTATAGAGATTATAAAAAAAATCCCCCACATAATGTTGATAGATATGTCTTACGCATTGGGCAAATTTGGTTAAGTCCAAATCTGCCCGGTGGCTCAATCTAGTTGTAATTACAGTGCAAGTGCAGAAACACACATTGAACTGTATACAGCAGATAGTTTAAAAACTGTACAGGAATCTCCTGTTTTATAGTTATTTGGAAGGTTGTATTTCCCCGTGCGTGCGTGCGTGCGTGCACACTCATGAATATATTTTAATGGCATTTCAAGACAATGCACACACAAGAAAAGATATAAATGTAGACAGCTGAATTAATCATAAGGCGGATGCTAAGTGAATTCTAGAGGTGGTGTGATTACATCCACTGGCAATGTGGAGACAGGAACAGATGCAACCAAGCAGTCGTTCAGTTTTGCTGCGTTAAACTGAGGCAATGATGGGCCTGTGTTGAGTGTAGTGATGATGTCATCAGTAAATTGACTATTGATTCAATCTGTTGAAATTGTAGGGTTTCAAATCTACAAATCTGTACAAATCTCAGCTCACCACATGTTGAGTAACTGATGAAGTTATTCTAATTACTTGGAAATTCTATTTTAGTGTTTGTAATGAAATAAGGAGAAGTTGCATATATGCCTTTCATTGTGGCAAAGATTTGCAACCCATTCAGGTGCAGTCAGTGTTTAATTTTATCATTTCATTGCTAAAAAAGCTAAAAATTAACCTTAGCTTTTTTAGCACTGGCTAATATCATTGCCAAAAGTACACAGTCAAGCGTTGTATAATTTTTCAGGGAAACATTCCAGTAAAGCAAGCCAACATCAGTGCAGTTGACTGAGCAAAGTGGGTATTAAACCGTACTGGAAGTTGCTCTGGAAAAGAGACCCTTCCAAACGCAATAGATGTAAATGATGCAGTTGCAATGTCCAAAGTGACAAGTAACAAAACGTTTGGTTCCTTATCACATAAGGAATGAATGTGCTGTAAATGCATTATGTCCCCTATTCAGAGGTAGGAACAGCAAAGTGCCACCAATCTCTGGCTCTGTTTGTATGACATCATGAGTTGTGCAAGTGTAGGCTGCCTCAAGGCAAATGGTGCATTAGTTCACACACATTTGTTTGGAAGAAACATTATGACTGACCCACATTCATTTGTAGGCCCTTTTAAGCAGCTCTCTACCCTTGTTTGTCAGAACATCATTCTTCTGAAAGCTAGTATTTATATCATTAAATTAAGCAAAATTAGAGATCTTACTTGCTACAAGGTTTCATTTACAAGTGTCAAATCCTGCTGATAGACTTTGTGCAAGCTGTCAAACAACAACCTGTAATTGTATGACAACAAAATTCTCTTAATCTTTTTTTGACGTGTCATTGCCACCACTAGAGCCCTTTGCTCTTGGAGTTAGGCTGAAATATTCTACGGATATTTGTTGCCGAATCCGATGGTTAGGCAGTTTTCCCCATGTAATTAAGCAATTTTAAGCCGTGAAATTAATCATCTGAAGAGCAGGGAGAAACATAAACTGAACTTACTGTTATTGCGTCAAGGCCATGTTCTTTATAGGTCCAGCATGCTAATGATGGTGTAGATGCAGGTCAAGATTTTAGCACTTAACAAGTTAACAGAGGAATAATGTAGCCCAAAAAACAGCTGAATATACAGCATCTGTAATGCCGTCATCAAATCCATTTGAATTTTTATAATTAGGATTAAAAAAGTGTCCTAATGAGAAGATGAAATGAAAATATTGCTACAGCTGTATAACGGAGGGAATGGAGAAATTGATTCAATTTGGCATGCACCGATCTTTTAGGCTCTAAACCAGAGGGGTGGTAGTGACATTAGATAGCAGCTTAGTTTACATTATTTAGATAAGTTGATGTTTGTTTTGAGTGCATGTTACGTTTTAACTATGAGCTTTGGAGTGAAAAATATAAATTTCCAACCTCTTAAGAGAACTGCTTAAAAAGAAATGTAGCTACAGATTTTTACCTCTGATTTTATTTAGTGCAATGATGACATTGCATATTTAGCTTCCAAAACACATTCTCTTCTTTTCCTGGCCTCTCCCTCCTCCTGTCTTCTCTCCTGGCAGCTAAGGGGAAATATTTACGATCTGGTATCTACCCTTGTTTGGCTATATTTCCTTGAGCTTTCTGTTTGCATTTTCTTACCATTTAAAAGTCAGTTCATTAAGATGGATACATATTATTTTGCATGAACTTTGTGAGACAGTGTGATGCATTGAACATGCTATTCTTGCATAATGTTAGAATAATGAGAATAGTAGTGGTACATGTACACAACAAGCTCTTTTTGTCATCTCATCTAGTCAGATCTGCATAATATCCATCACATTATATATCGACTCACACACAGCATTTCTTCCAAGCCAGTGTGCGCTGAATGTTAGTTAAAGAGATAGGGTGCAGTAAAAAAGGTACACCGTGATAAAGCCATAAGAATAAAGTTTATAGGATTGTCCTTCGTGTGCAGTATCTGCCTAGGCAGCATAATTGAATTATTGGTCCTTACTCATTTCAAGTGATTTGACATGTTCATTGTCATTGAATGAAATGCACATTGTAGCCTGATGAATCAGTTATTGTGTTTTTATGTGCACAAAAGTAAGAATTAAAACTGGTGCATTTTGGTATATGTTTGCAAAGGCTTAGAAAACTCTGGCTCCCCTGACACTCAAAATAGAATTGTATAGCATGGCAAGTGGAATAGTGTTAGTTGACTTGAGGGTTGAATTTCCTAGTTTGCCTTCCCCCACCTCCTCCCTTTATGCTGAAATGGCTGTTTTCCCAGTGGTATCACCGTGTAAGTAAGAGAAAGCTTATGTGAAAGATCATGAAAGTCAAAACACAGGTCTCCCCATAAAGTGCCAATTTTCCTTTATGTACCCACTCTCTCCCCTCCTCTCGGGTTACTGAATGTTTTCCCTGTGGTCCCTGCATGTGTTTGCATAGTGATGTACAGGGCTTTTTCCAGAGAAGTTTTTAGGCACGGTGGCTCAGCCGTACGGGGGAAGAGGTGCTCACTGGCTGCATAAACGTTGACTCTATGGAGCAGTCTCTTTTTCATTGCCATCATTTCTAGTATTTGTCCATCTGAAAACTGTCTGCCTTTTTTTTTATTTTAACTTTTTACACCTTAAGATCCCTAAATGTCACAAAGGACATATCTGTGACTATTTTGCTAGCTAATTAGCAAAGGTTGCTAGATAACATTAGCTTGTGATGGTCAAAGCTTGAAGTGTTAAATGTCACTCTATGCACAACTACTGTAACTGTAGTTAAAAAGTCGTCTTAAAGATACAAAAAATGCATTGGACCAGCGGGCCTGCAATGCACTGGCGGAAACCCTGAATGTAGGATGTGTTTATATCATGGTTTCCGTGCTTTGCCAGCGCAGTGGAATAAGTGCTTCTCATCAGCAAAATTGCTCAGGAATTTTAAGGTGGGGGTGGGTTATCTTCTTGTAGTCATGACACTGAGGAGGAGAGGATCTTTTACACTCTGCCACTCTTGCAGCCGGTGAAGCATTCCAACACCATTGCTTTAATGGATTTTTTTTATGCAACCTGAGTCATATTTTCATAGATTTGCTTCACATTTCTATGCTTCTATAATACCATTTCATCACCCAGCTTAAATCTTAAGATCCCAGAACACAGTAGAGATCATTATGGCAAACATTAGCAACCAGATCACACAGACTGAAAATAAACCTGTTTTCCCTTCTTGTTTTGAAGACAAAATAATTGGCAATATTACATTTTATAACCAAGTTGTCCAATATAAAAATGTATTTCATTTTCATATGTAACATTCTGCTTTGGCTTTGTTTAGTCTGCCTTACAAAGTTCAGCTCAGCCTTCCAAGTGTGTAGGAGAATCTATGGTGGCCACAAAAAAACCTATCTATAGCCAATGTTTGGTTTGTCTGTTCTGGGCTACTGTAGAAACATGACTGCATGGAAGAGAACTTGCTCCCTCTGTAGATAAAAATGTCTCATTCTAACATAGCAATTTATAATATATTCCATTTCTGCCAGTAGATCATCCAAAATGTTACACATTGGACCTTTTTAAATGCAGTTTATGATCAGAATTGACAGTTGTGTTGCACCCAATCTTTGATATTATGGTAAAACTGGGGTTTGTTTACCATGTATGTGATAGTGTCACTGCTTATATTGCTGTGTGACCCAGATCTCAGTAGTTGAATTAGTGGGTAAAATGTAACGGATTGATGATAGCTAAAACTGGGGGGGAGAGAAAAAAAACCTCTCAGTCTTTGTTGCTATAGTGCAATCACGAGTTGTCTTTGTAATTGATTATGTTTCAGCACATTTTTTATCCATTGGATAATCCCGCTTTGGCACAGTTCCTCACATCCCAGGCATTCTGTTTCCGCATTGTTGCCAGCACATAGCAACTAGCAAATGGGAATCTTGAAAGTCTCTGACCTATATTTTTTTTCAAAATGAGTAGATGCATGATGTTACTCCAAAAGATGCAAACATATTTTGAAATAATTGTGGGGGAGCTTGATTTGCTGGTCAATACAAGAAAATATACTCTCAAACCATAAATGTTGGCAGCCGCAACCAAAACTTGCTGAGCTCAGCACTCCAGTTCTCACTCGTTTTTGAAAGTGTCAGGGATTTTTGCCTCTCTTATTCCAGTAGGGCAATGGCAAACTGGCAACCTTGTAAAATGTTCACTTAAAATAGCCACGTCATTACTAGCTACAACTTATATATGCTTTTGGAGAAATAAAAAAAACAATAACACTTTTTTTGGGAAACAAATACAAAACTTTTATTCTTTTATATCTATTCATTCAAAAGCTTTGCTTTTGTTTTCCGTCCTACTTCTCATTTTTCCCTCGGTGCCATCATATTGTATCATTTTAGCAGCTTTATAAATTAATCCTTAGCAGTGGGTTTGTATTCCACAGGGGATTACTTGTATTGCAGCACTGTTCCATTTCTGATACCATAATGAACTTATCCAAGTTTAATTATGTATCTATGTATTGCTCTTTCTTTGTTTCTCTCAAAATAAGACTGTCAGAGTTCTTGTCTGTGGCTAAAAAGTAGATGTGTGTGTGTTTTCTGTTTTAGGTGGCCAACCTGGCATGCTCCATCTCCAACAATGAAGAGGGAGTGAAGCTGGTCCGCATGGCAGCATCTCAGCTGGAAAGTCTCTGCCCCCAGGTATTTGGCTATGTTCCCCAAAATATGTACCCGGCTCACTGATTGCACACCTCTTCGAGAGGTGTGACAGTCTTTTAATACTATTACTAGAAAGTGCCAATATGTGCATATACATAGTGGCTTCAGTAATTGCAGACTGTAGTTAAAATTGCAGCATTTGTTTCTGTTTTTGATGATTTTGTTATAAAGACATGCAGTGAGGTATTCTATAAGCAGATTAGGACAATATCACATTTTGTACCATGTACGCACCTCAGTTGGCTTATCAAATTAATGTCATTGTCAGAATGGACATAATGCAAATAACAGACCTGGCGTATGGCTCAATCAGTTGAACTTAAGTGGTATGGATAAATGGTAGTCTAACTGTTTTTCAGTGTTAATTCTGCATTTGTGCCAGAAAGGTGGTGGATTGGGCTCACAATGTGTGTGGGTGTTGTCTTTATTCCCACAGTCTATTCATTTTAACAACAATGAAATGAAATAAAATATGGAAAATAGTCACAGACATGCTACATAAAAAGTGGCATAGCTAGTGGAATGATGATGGGGGAAACAAACAAAAATAATAGCTAGTTGTTTTTGCCAGTGCAGTGACAAGGACATAATCCCCTGCTGGTTTCCCACCTGCAAACACTGGTTTTTGTTGTTTGTTGGAACATACATCAATGCTAAAGGTAACACTACCTGGAATTGAATTCCAGGACTATGTGCTGGCAAAGTAGAAATTTTCCCTAGTGCAACATGTGTACTTCCAGATATGGAGATGTTCTGTAGAGGAATAAAAGAGTACCTGAAAAACTGACAGTGAAAATCTTTCTAAAGGCAATTTATATTCTTATAAAGGTAAACATACACAAAAAATGGGGTATCAGACAAGTCAAGGGTGTTCTAGCGTTCTGTTTACATGAACCAAAGCACTTTGTTAAACTGTGAGTCAAAGACAGTAGATAAAAACAAATAAATAAAAAGTACGGTTGAAAGACTGCAACTATTTTCTAAATTGTATTTTATAATTTGTACTAACAGTGTTTTTGTGTTATTGATTTACTCACCTTCTGTGCCCCGACCTCACCTCTCTGACCTGTGCTGTACTCTCTGAACACTATTGGGACTGTAATGCATAGTCCCCACCCCCATTTCCAAAACTTCCTTCCAGCCATGTACAAAAAACTGCAGTTCCACATTGAACAGTTTAGATACATGATTTTTAATATCAACGCTGCAAATGGTTTAACCCAACTCTGTGGTTGTAATTTCCGACATACTGTTATGAATATTGTTGACAAGTTGGATAAGGAATGAGGAATAACATCAATACCTCAGGTCTTTTTGTCCATGTGTCCACCACTGAGCCCATCTTTTCATACCCCTTACCATGCTAACTACTAGTCCCTCATTTGTACCTCTAAGCCTTGCCAGCTCTCTCCACTTTGCTGCCACTGCTCCTTTTAATCTCATCTAATGACTCCTATTCACCCTGAGCTTTGATATTCACAGATGTTTCTTCCCCCAAAACAAGCAGCTATTAGTTTTATTTCATTCAATCCTTCAAAACACCTCGTGTCTATAATCATTCCCAGGAATGAATAGGCGGCATGCTGCAGTCCCAACATTTGGGTGGGAGAGATGGGGGCTTCGCACAATCAACCTATGTTAATGTTGTGGCTGAGGGCTATGCTGTAATGGAGCTTTAATGGTGGTAATTGGGTGATTACAGGTGATTAATGCGGCGTTAGCCCTTGCTGCCAAGCCCAACAGTAAGGTGGCCCAGGACAATATGGATTTGTTCAAGGAGCAATGGGAGAAGCAGGTCCGCGTCCTCACTGATGCTGTTGATGACATAACATCCATTGATGACTTCCTTTGTGTGTCCGGTGAGTGGTACTCATTTGCATGTCATAGCCATGCATGGGCAAAAGAAATGTTTCATACTATTGAAATGATCATTGATGATTTGTGATGTTTTTTTTAAATGTGCAAACAGATTGTGTACTGCTGATTAGTAGACAGTGCTTTTGGTCAGTATTAAGATAGATTTGTTCAAGCAGGTAGGACTATTCTTAAAATGAGGTAAAATAGCCGTAAATGATCTGTGGTGTTTGTCTTTTCTGATGTGAGCCATACATATCAAGGCTGATTGGGCTCTACAGAAGAAAGTACTGAAGCATTAGCAGCACTACGTCTGAAATTGACATCCTGTCACGTGTGTTAAAGCACACAAATGGTTTGTCAGGCATACCCTTAAAGAGTTCTCGTTAAGCATTAGGCAGAGTGACTTCTCTCACCTCTAGCCAAGGACAGACTGTAATTTACACAGTGGACATTTGCATTTTACAGGCTCGCCATTAATAAGCAGTCTGAGAATTTGTCTTCAGCCCTCCCCATTCTATACTCAAGCTTCCCAGTGGCCCTCTTAATTTCAGGACTATGCAAACACACAATGAAGGCTGAGAATTTCCTGACCATTTGTATTTTCTCATTATTACTCATGATGTTCCAGTTTAGATTAAAGCATGCCTTGGATGAAAAAGATACTGTTTTCAGTTTATCTTCTGCACTAACCTCTTTGCATCCAGGCTGGCTGATGGCATGTATTCAGTAATACAAAGTATACACTACTAACTACATCATTGTTTTATGTCTCCAGAGAACCACATCCTGGAGGATGTGAATAAGTGTGTCATCGCTCTGCAGGAGAAAGATGTTGACGGTTTGGATCGCACTGCTGGGGCTATTCGAGGCCGTGCTGCCAGAGTTGTCCATGTGGTCACTTCTGAAATGGACAATTATGAACCTGGAGTCTACACAGAGAAGGTCTTGGAGGCCACCAAGCTCCTCACTAACACAGGTACCACAGAAACATAATTATGTAATAAGCCAAAGAGAAGTAATGTTTATTTCCCCAGTTATTTCTCAGAAGTCTGCTCTTAAAAAGCTTGTTTAATGTCTTAACTGCAGATGCTGTTTCAAAAAAATGCAATTTTCCGTTTACAGCCTTCCCCATACTTATTATGAATGCAGCATTGTAGGATACAACCACTTCCAACTCAACTGACACTACTAATCTGCACAGCAGGCACTCTAGAGTTGTCCGATATCCCTGAATATCTTAATCCAAGTTATATCATAGAAGTTGTTTTTGTCCATATGCTATGCTATGTCATTATCAGGCAGTAACTGCGAGCTGTGTTAGCTTGCACTACTAGCAAGCTAACAAGATGGCAGAATGATTTGTCGGTTGTCAGATTTGGAAACAGCTTGGGCCTCTCGCGGGTGGACCCATTAACAGTAAGAAAATGCAGGCTGTAGTTCAAGCTGAATTTCTGCTGTGGCTGAGAGAGGTGGTAAGCTCTGGAGACCTAAACTGATTTTCTCATGTCCTCTCCACAATGAAGTGATGGGTTTCATTTTAAAACTGAAAATCTTTCTCTTAATTAGGTGGCTGAATAGTTACAAAACATTGAATGCAGTGAAAAAAATCACAAGGTCTCTACATCAGCACATATTAAACTTTATGCATGATGCTGTTTGTATATTGTGATGGTTTGGTAGTAGGGTTGTGCCACTGAGAAAAAAGGTGTGACCGAAACCCTAGAGTTCATTAGCTGTACATTAGACACGAATGACAATGCATTTTTGCTGCTTTTTGTCTTTTTAATGTGAAAAGATTTGATAGACTAATCAGTAATAGGTTAGGAGACGAGATTGCAGTGAGTGTAACACACAATACTACCAGATTTTCAATTTTCTTTTTGAACATCATTTTTATACAGAAGCCTGCAGGTTATAAATGGTCTGTAAGCACAAAACCAAATCCCCCTTTTTTTTTCTCTCTCTTGCTCCTGCTGCTCTCTGCCTCCACATCTGCATCCTGCCTCTCCCATGAAGGCCTAGCTGAATCCTTAATACTGAATTTGAAATATTATTAATGCAGATGTGCTGGAGAGCCCTCGGGAGCTGTTTTTTATATCATCAGTGGGGCACAATACATGCCCGCAGGGACAGCTTTGTGAGACCTTCTAGTGGAAAACTGTTATGCCAAGTCTGGGATCTATTCTCTTCAGCATTTTGTTCCCTATTTGCCATTCAACCATAGAACACACTACAATGAGTAACTAGACCAACAGTGCAAAATTCCATCTGTCAAAGTTGAATGTACTTTTTAATTTGTCATTCAGAGGTGAACTTCACTGGCACAGTAAGATGTTGTTGTTTTTCCCCCAACAGAACAGAATTAGACCCATACTAGTATCTTTAAGGGGATCATTTATAATAATCTCAAATATAATTTCCTCAGTCAGCAGACTGTGTTAATGCTTTATGTCAAGTAGCTTTTGATAACCTGCAATCTCAGGAGGAATGTCTTTCACACATGCACTGCTACCCAATATGGATAGATGTGGAATAATAAGGAAGCTAGTAAGGCACACTGCTCTGGTAAAATCTCACCTTAGTGCTTTCACAGTGAACTCGGTGGCTCTGTGTTTGAGGTGATGGCTGGACAGTTTTACAACGTGTAGTTCTGTTTATGTACATTATTTAACAAATATTAATGTGGTAAAATAACACATACCAACTCAAGGTATGGGTTTGTTGTCTGTTCTTTTACGCTGTGCTAACGTGTGTGTACCTTCTTTCTCTTTGTGGTTTTTGGAGTGAATCTTCATCAATATCAATATTGTTTTTCTTGTTTTCTTTTTCCTTCCCACCCTTCATCTTGCCTTCTTCAGTCATGCCACGGTTCACAGAGCAAGTGGAGTCTGCAGTAGAGGCCTTAAGTGCAAACCCCTCACTACCTGTGGATGAGAATGAGTTCATTGACGCATCCCGTCTGGTATATGATGGCATTCGCGACATTCGCAAGGCTGTCCTGATGATCAGAGTAAGTCACGCTGTTTTTTTGTACCTCTGCAACATGAGATTTGACTTCCACCCTGCCATGAGCTTAAAACAAATATTTCTTATCTTAAATGATAGCACGTTCTTTTCCCTGTTCTGTATTAAATCTGGACAGTGTGAGTTACATTTTCTACCTTTTCCTCCCTAGAGCATGGGTAGAGTTGAAACAGGAGTAAATATATTCTTTATCACTTAAGATATATTCAATTGGATAGAAAGGTTTGCCGTTGGCCACATTAAGAAGCGGTAACTCCTGCACACACACACACACACACACACACACACACACACACACACACACACACAAACACAAACACAAACACAAACAAACATATATATACATATACATATATGGCCTGTGGCGTGGGCACCAGATGCTGTTTTTAATGGTACGTGAGAAGCTGTATGTGCGTGTGTGTAGTCCAATCATTAACTTGTCTCATGCAAGAGCAGACCTAATTGACCAGACTTGCAATCTAGTGTAACAGCAGCCTTGGTTGTCAGTGGGTTAATGGCCTTTGCTTGAGTAGAACTATAACTGAGACAGATGGTAGTTGGGCACCTAATTGACTGACAATGCGCCGACAACAAAACCCACTGCAGCTGTAAAGAGAAATAGATAGTTCTTAAGGCTTTATTGTATAACTAGTTTGACTACTTAACAATGCCATTTTATATCTTTATATATATATTATTTTTTATATATATATATGTTATTTTTATTTTACCTGCTTCTGTATTTACTACGTTAAATTACAATGTGCTGGTTGGTTGTATTATGCCATCTTCTATTATTTTCAACACTTTAATGTTTTGAGTTGGACTCATTAGTCTTGACAGCACAGTTTGTGTCGACAGTGGTGCTCCAAAGCTGTGCCTTGGCTCCCATGAATAATGCTGCTCAGACATAGACAAAAAACAAATGAGAGGGGGACTATTATGCAGTATTTGCATTATAATAAGCAATTGATTTAAGATGGAGTTTTTAATTAGCATTCTTTCGTTGGTCTGCGAGCCAGAGTACTACATTCAATTTCCATCTGCCCCAGCTCCACTCTTGTTATCCAGATTGATTAAGCTGTTAACATTGGGCCTGTGAGGCGGGCTGAGCACTACCTGGTGGGTGTATGTGTGTAGGTGTGCATGTGTGTAAAAAATAACAGAGGATTTATGAAAAACCGTTCTTACTTATAATTAATCCGTCAGATTTTTTTCTGCCATTCTTAACTGAACTCATTATCTTACAAGGAAAATTATGCAGTTCCCCATAGGTTTGCGAGGATTTTTTTGATCAGGTGTGTGAGGTAATAATCACAGGTTTGGTGGTAATAATTCAGCAGGAAATGGCTCAGCTGCATTTCTAACAGAATCTGTACAGCAGTCTCCTTTAACGTTCCAGTGTGTAACATTTAGGAGGATCTATTTGCAGAAATGAAATATAGTATTCATAGGTATGTTTTCATTAGTGTCTAATTCCCTGAAAATAAGAATTGTAGTGTTTTTATTACCCTAGAATAAGGTGTTATTTTCTACAGAGGGAGCAAGTCCTCTTCCACAGAGGTGGCAATGTTGAACCGTCATGTTTGTACAGTAGCCCAGAACGAACAAACCAAACGCAAGTTTACACAAGTTTCTCCTAAGGAAAAAACCTACTACCTTTAAACCTACTTTTAATTGCTGTTGTTTCTAATGAGATTAGACAAGTGTATCAAAAACATTAATTTCTATCTTTGCTTGGCTGAATTGCCCTTCAGTGGCACAGTTTACACCTGAAACTAGACATTTTCAGCTCTGAGTCAGATCAGCTGAGTTGAGCACTGTAAGACAACTTCTCTAGAGGGCATGTCTGTACACACAAGTGCGCTCTCCAGCCATCTTTCTATAAACCTTCACATGCACGCGCTGCACAGTGGCCTACTCTTAAATCAGAACAGACAAGTGTGTGGTTGGGGCTACTTAAGATAGACAAGTCTTTAACCTCTGTAAGTGGTGCACAGGCAGCCTACGTTGGCCGTCCCTTGGATATTTGACATGCGGACAGAACCCTCTCCCCACCTACACTGACATCAGTGAATATGCCTCCCAGACATCAAACTGTCTCGAAGTCAGGGAGCTGCTGACAGCGAGATACAGGGGGCAGCTGTCGTTACCTTATGATTTGTGCAGTGCACCACGGCCCAAGGTGATTTTGCTGGCTCTGTCCTTTAAAAAAAATAAAAAATCAGCCCTGCTCTCAGAGGCTATAAGCAGAATGTCACGAAAAGAATAACAATGGGGATTTTACTTGTGGACTGCGCTGTCTATATCTACAGCAGCAGACAAAAATACTAGATGAGACTAAGGCCTACTTTCTAGCATTGTCACGATACAGTAATTTCAGCTCTCTCCTTGTCTTCTATTGCACTTCTGTACCATCTGGTCACATGTGCTATATAGAGGTGATACAGATGGGACTTGAATATTTCAACTTTCAGACACACAGTGGAGATGCTGGACATTAAACAATTAAATATTGATTAACATATTTTGCCACAGCATGAACAATAGTAACAATAGTAATACATTTTCATTTATTATGACAACAGTACTACATTGACAAAACCTTTTTTTAAATTTCACTGCAGGCTATTGTCACATCCCTGCAGTAGTGTCCCATTGGGTGCTCATCATGAGCTATCATTTCTGAGCCTCCCACATTCACAGGTTATCTGTTGCACAGGCCACAGCAGGTGATATCTCTGCCCCACTGAACAGCATTGTCTGGGTTGAAAGAGATGCCTATGAGTCACTACAGCTTTGTATCTGAAACCATACCCCTATTCCCTTGAGAACAAGAGCATCCCTGCATTCCGTAAAGCAGTGTAAGGTTGTTCAGAGACCTTCAGCTATTTTTAGATGTGAGGGCTCCAAATCCATTACAGAAGGGAGGTATTGAGACAGCTGGATAAGCACAAGTAGCGGCACAGGCGTGATAATGCACCTTTATCTGTCCACATCATCTTCCCTGTGCCCGTATCGCCACCAAATACATTTTCATGTCACTCAGTATTGTATTTTGCCTTAAGCATGACCTGTTGAGATAGAAATTCTTTTGAATATTAATATTTTCTGATAGAATACTTGTGGCTTATTTTGCATTCAAAGCTAGGGAAGAGGTGAAGGATCAGAGATGGAGTAGCAACACTCAAGAAGAACACAACTCATGCCTCACCCGCCTTTCTACAGATAGCAGCGACAGATGGGACTGAAGCATTTTGCTCCCATTATGTTTCAAACCAGCTTGTACCTTCATTTTCCCTCTCAAAATGCACAGGCAGCACATTACACTTGATTTACAAATTCATTTAGAGTTTACAGTTTCTTGTACCAAGCTATGGGGAAGAAGACATTTATCTGATGCTGCCCTTGCTGGCAGCACCAAGACATTTCTCATAGATAGTAAGCAGGTTGGTTATTTAAAAGTGCTCAAAAGGCTGTAGTATGCCAATATTATTTTATGTCCTCCACTTACAACTAACTGCTTTTCTTACTCTTTTCTCCATTTTCTACCCTTTCTCTTGTTTTTTCTCCCTTACCCCATTCATTTGGCTGTTTTGATCTCTCCTCCCTTACCCCTTACTTGCCTCTTTTTCCCCTTTCTGTTGTCCCTTACAGACTCCAGAGGAGTTGGACGACTCTGACTTTGAGACCGAAGACTTTGATGTTCGCAGCAGGACCAGTGTGCAGACAGAGGATGACCAGCTTATTGCCGGCCAGAGTGCACGGGTAAGTTGTCAAGTAATGGCTTCTCGTAGTATTTAGACATTCCTGAGTCTGATCTCCTGCCTTTAAAATCTTTAGTTGTTGGATGGAATCAATGGGAGATGTGTGCAAAGGGAAAAAAACCCACTCACATATTGAGTGCACACATTTATATTAATATTTTCCGTGTAGGAGATTGTATTCACAGTGCCCCACAGAATAGAACAGAGGCGTGCTTGAAGACAGTTGAATATTGACTTTACAAGCTTGTGTTATATCAGTTAATGAGTTGAATATTGCCATCCAACTTGAGTTAATTCATGTGGCATGTTTAACAGTGCATTAGAAGGAAATGTTATCACTTGCCTGGTATGTACAATGAAACATATTTTAGAATACTACATAGTCAGAAGAGCTATTCGATATTTATTATTGCTGTAGTTATAGAAAATAGAAGTACGTGTTGTATTATTAATTTGTAACGATACAGATTTATTTATGGTCCTTTGTAACAGTATGCTTGTGTGAATGTTGTTTAAGCCACTGTTGTTCTTTCAAATATTCCACCCCCATACTTGCTGTTAATTGGTTACGCACAGTTGGCTTGGCGCCACCATAACAAATGTGATCCAAGTATTTGTAGAAAGTTTCGCCTCATACAATTATTGGTTACAACTGGTTCTCATTTGTTGTGCTAAGTAGTTATTACCAACAAATATTTTAAAAAAATGCATGTTGAGATCAAGTCTAAAGAAGATTTAGGTGTAGTGTTCTTCAGCTTTTATCCATGCCATCATTTTTTTTTTTTTTGTCCCGGTCTGAATTGGTGTTGGTGGTTGAGTTTTCAGGTTAGACTTCCCAAAATCCCAATAGGCTACCTAAAAAGACTCTTAGCAGATAATACACCTGCTATCACTCACAAGAGCATGGATTGCTGCTCTGTATTTCCTTCTCTCTGTAGTTGTTACGCTATACAATAGTCAACTTGATAAGCCAGTATTACAGTTGTTTCTGTGTTTTTATCTGCCCTCCTACTAAACAGCTTTTCTCTATTTTAAGCTCACGCTTAATTGTAACTTAAGAGGCTAACTGCATTAATGTTTTAAAGAATACAGGGTAATAAATTAATCAAAAACCCCCAATGGCAGAGTGATCCATCAGTACTTTTCCACGCTGTTTGTCTAATTCCCTAAAGATTATTTCACTGTTTTGTTGGAGCATCTCAGCTTTGCACTGCCCTAAACAGCTTTGTTCAAGCTTAGGTGACTCTAGAGAGAGAGTCCTATTTACCAGTAATGGAATGAACGCTCTTGCGATGATATTCGATTTCCTGCTCTTAAGTGTCTGCCCACTTCGGCCTGACAAGCTCATTCATTGAATGTCTGATTGCCCGTTTGGAAGCTGCCCTTTAACCGTCCAGCGTAAGAAGATGGATAGAAATGCTGCTAAACACATTTGCACATGATATTAAGTACCGCTAAACAAATGCCCTTATATTGATCTTCTTCGGTGGCTAGAGGCATAGAGTTCAGTAAATGTATATTTTTTCCACAAGATGGCACATAATATTACTTGGTGGCTGTGAACCCGGTCCCCATGTGAAATCTGTCCTTGAGCACCGGTCTTGATGACATTTATTTACAGAAAAGACATACCCAATCATTAAGCCATTTTCAGTCTTAAGACTTCAGGCCAACATTGCTATTATTCATTTTGTTGATGCAGCAATAAGAGTAAGAATAAGAGTTAAAAAAGTGTGTTAATGATGGTGGTGGCACTTTACCAACGCTGAGTCCTTGCTGCAGTGGCCATGGGTTTGACTCCAACCTGTGACCCTTTGCTGCAGGTTTTTCTCTCTCTTTCTCCCCCCTTTCCTGTCACTCTTCACCTATTGATTAAAAGGCAATAAAAGCAATAAAAAAGAGAGAGGTATAAAGTGAACCTTGATACAATATAATGCAGTTCAGTACAACACCACCACTAACTACAACCTCAGTAGTAAACATATAGTTGAATTAACACCTCTCTAAAGAAAGAATTTGTGCAGATGGTAATAAAGCGACCAGGTAGTACAGCCGTCACATCACAAGAATGTATAAAAGAAGTTAAACTTGGATCACAGTAGTGTAGTGCATCATAGTACCGCAGTGGTTCTGTGCTTTGATGTCAAGCAGCACCATGGTACTTCCTGGAAACCATAGAGGATGTTGTAAAACAAAATGCCCTAGAGACAGAAACGGCCTCAGTAACAGTATGTTGAGGTCTGATGTTCTAACCCTCTACGCTTTCCATAAATCCTCCTTCAGGCTATCATGGCCCAGTTGCCCCAGGAGCAGAAGGCAAAGATTGCAGAACAGGTGGCTAGCTTCCAGGAAGAGAAGAGCAAGCTGGATGCTGAGGTATCCAAGTGGGATGACAGCGGCAATGACATCATTGTGTTGGCTAAGCAGATGTGCATGATCATGATGGAGATGACAGACTTCACCAGGTGAGTTTGCACAACAGCTTGGCTCACACAGCCATTTTTGTCCCCTAGCAAATTATTGGCAATTTTGTAATTGTTTTTCTGACCTCAGACATCTGAATGAGTGGTTTGTAGTATGACTGGCCATTTTAAGTTTGTAGTCTGTGTATTTGTCTTTGATTCTTTGCCATCCTCACATTAATATTTCAATATTTGTACAATTCAAGCAAAATGTCTCAGAGACCGAATGCATGTTTAAGTTAAGCCAAATACAATTACCCAATAAGCCTACCTTTGTTTCCCAACATTTGCTCATATCTGCACAATACTATTCAGCTAGTTTAACACTAGTGTTCATGCATCAACGCTCTTCATTTTCCTTAAGCAGCACTGTAGGTAGGATTTTCTTCTTGATTATTTTTCATCCTCCCCTAATCTTAATATGCACAACCATAAGCACTGTGTCAAATCTTGCTCTCTCTGGTACACGAATAAAGCTGGGTGTGCACTGTAAATCTTAAATGGACAGTCTCACTCAGCAAAGCTGCTACAGGGTGGTCATATTCACCCCTGTCAGTGGTTTGTTGAGACAATAAAGATGGTAGAGAAATGGTTGTCGGGGGTGGGGGGCATCTTTGCAGTAAATATGGCTTCAAAATATGCCACTACTAAGAACTGTACGCATGTCTGAAAGTTTCTGTGGTTACAAGCAGGGTATTTTTACTGAAAACTTCCAAACTTGGATCATGCTTAATACATCAGTATGACGACAGAAAAGCTTGTTGTTGTTACTACATGGTACATCTAGCCATTGTAGCCAACTACTTAAGAGAGATGAAAAATGTATTTGAATTTAAACAGTGAAATCGCTGATCCAATGTAAATAAAGGATTGGAAACAGACAAAACAGAGGATTGCAACCTATTTGTCACTCCCCTCCACTCAAGCAAATGTGTTGGGCCCCTTCCCATTCAGAAAGATTTCCACCCAACCTGGAGCTGGTCGGACCAATCACAACTGTTAATCTAATACGGAGGCAGGTTAGATACAATGACTTTACAGAGGACTGTGACGATATTGATTGTTGAAGCATTTTCATAAATAACCAAGATGGCTGTCGAAGATATGTTATATATATATATATATATATATATATATATATATATATATATATATATCATATATATATATTTATATATATATTCATATATATATTTATATATATATTCATATATATATATATATATATATATCATATATATATATTTATATATATATTTTATATATATATATATATATATATATATATATATATATATATATATATATATATATATATATATATATATATAACACATATATATATATATATATATATATATATATGTGTTATATATATATATATATATATATATATATATATATATATATATGTTATATATATGAACTGTTTCGCATCAGTATTAAACAACCTGGATGGTATATTTTTTTATAAAAGAAGAACAAACAACTGAGCTTAAAGCATTTCTTGATAAGGAAGATGTGTTTGCAGTACTAGGATATAGTAAATTTTTGGACTAGACCATTTTGGTCTGCGCCATTGATAATAATAACCCTTGGAAATTGAAAATGAACTGAGAGTTGGATTGATAAAGTATAATGAAACTTGAACCATGGCACTTTATGCACTGTATGCTCGAATACTACAATACTTTTTCAAAGTCTGTTTTATTCACCATAGTTATGCATCCTACTACCCTGTGCCACGAGCTAAGCTGCAATTAAGTGTTTTTGTTTCCTTTGGCCTTTTCCAAGGGATACGACATTGATAAACATGACGTTAAGGGACTTTTAAGGAAATTTATTTAGGAAAAAATTACAGTAATGAAATTGTGTTTGGCAAAGAAACCTTTTTGTATTTAAATGTGAAGAGAAGCTACTGTAGCCTCACTGGCAGATAATTTGAGAATCCCTGCCATATTTTGTGTGTATGATAGTGTGCGTGCATGTGTGAAGATGACATTGAAATTTGTGGCTAGGTGTGGCAATATTTATTGACACTTTGTGATTATTGTTGGGCAAGATTTCTATCTCTGTGTGATCGTCTAGCTCACACGGTGCGAGTGCGTTTGTGTGTTGGTGTGTGTGTAGGATGTGAGGAGACATTCTGAGTGGCTGACTCTATTTGCGCCTGACTGTATTTGTATGACTGTGCCTTTTTAAATTTTCAAGTGAATTACTCAGAGGACATTTTGTGCCTAACTCTGAGTCACATCCGTAATGACTATGAAATGCTGCCTCTCTATCTTCATCTTCTGAATGGCTCAAAGATCCTGTCTCCTTGGCCGAAGAAGTACAATACTGGAAAGCTGTAGCAGAGTTCAAAATACTAATATAGCCAGTAATGTGACTGAGGTTACACAGAACCCTGCAATTTTCTATTTGCTTCTTATTTTTTAAAATAATTGCTGCCTCTTTGCATTTCTTCCATCTGTAAGTGCTATATGCACATGTCAATTCAGATGTTCCTGCTTCCATCTTGGAGTGCAATCTTAGGGGTTATGGATTGCAATGACATCTTTATGTCAGGCTCCTTCTCTCAGTTTCACAATATAAAGTTTACCTAATGAATTTAAATGGAAAAAGAAAATGTCCAATTCAGGCCTACCATGACTGACTGAGTATTACTCTTTAAATGTATTCATTTAGTTTAATTCTAAATGTTTATAATTAGTTTTGTTGGACTTCTCTAATCAAAAACAACAAAGCTAGATAGGCAAAATGGCAAACAAACACACAAACACATATGAGCTCAATAGTGAATTAGTACAGCATCGTTTCACCACACTTTGAGTACTAAGATGTCCAGATCAAACTGTCAAGCACTGAATGCTAGATGTGAATGTTTGATCAGATTTTAGCTGTTTATACCAAAGTATCAAAAACAAAATGTATATGCCTGACGAGGCATTTTTCGTCAGAATTTTAAACAATAAAAAATCCCACGCCTCTTATCCTCTGCATATTTAATTTAGGAGTTAACGACCACCTTAAATCGTCTTGAATAACAAGATGTTTGTCATTTGGAATACCGTCCCATAGTTGAATCTTACCAATGGCTAAGGTTTTCCAAGTGAAATGTGTTTAATATTTAAATATTTACCATGGCTAACTGTTTGATGTCCTGAGCTCATATGCTGCATTTACATGGTTCTTCTAAATGAATGTGCACGGTCTAGCATCTGGATTTGCAGCTTGGAAAGATGGCAATTAATAACAATTACTATTTGTTCTGTAAATGTTTAAATCATTAATTAAAAATAAAATATACAATTCATACATCGTACATTTCTAGCTCAGGTGCCTGAACCAGTAAAAACAGTATTGTCATTGGCATTAAAAATACAAAATATAAAAGAAAGCTGTGGGAATGGCTTGTGTGCCTGTGTTGTTCATAGTGCAGAGTGTTAATTAAAAAAACAAAAACTGCATCTTGGTGTTGTGTAACTTTTCTCATTTGGCACTCGGGCTTTGTGATGCTGTGTATGCCAGTGTGTGAACACACATGGATGTTTGTCAGGCTGGATATATCTCTTCACATTATATCTTGACTCTTGTATGCGGCAGTAGCACATGGAAGGTCAGTAGCTGGCTAATTCAGCCCGCGCCCAAATTATTGCCCCCTCGACCTTGAGCTGGCACAAAGCCCTGCCAAGGTTAATGCTGTATGAGGTAATTGTTCAGGACCTCTCTCCTGACAAATCTGCAGAGAGTGAGAGATTCTTGTTGACTCCTGAATCGCTTTTGGCTGTATGGCAGCTCTCATGAATAAGGCATGTGTAGCTTGCAAACATGCAACATATTTGGGAGCCACCTATCTTGGAGCATTCTGTGCTGTGGAGTGCTCAGGCCAATGTAGCTTACATCTGGAGGCCTGCAGCTGTCACCAGACCTGAATTCTCCATGTATAAATCCATTACAAGGATGGCCTCTTGTCAGGACTTCTCTTGTGTATCTCCATGGCTTCTGTTTCTTTTTCCCTATGATTATTTGGCCAACTAGGCTTAGCAGCTAGTCCTTTTTTTCTTAGGACTACAGCAAGAGATATTTATAAGAAGAAAATTAGGTTATGGAGAATTTAGTGGTTGCTGTATTTATGCATTGGGGTGAAAAACTACAACAGTATACTAGCAACACTTTATTAAACAGTCCATGCAGGCTTTTTTTCCCCCCAGAACCCATCACAATGCCTCCAGCGTTGTCTCCAGGGGTTGACTTGTCCCCGGAGAGCTGCCAGTCTGTGCTCTGACGCGTGGCCTCTTCCACTAGGACCCTGACTTGCTTTACAGCAGAGCAGCAGAGGGAGAGCAAAAGAGGGGAAGGGTTGGAGACGGGAGCAGAGGGAAGAGGAAGCGAGAGAACAGAACACAAAATTCCATCTGTTCTGGGTTGGATGGCTCATTTTTTAGCCTGGAGAGAGCAGCTTTGAATCCAATTTGTGCCTCTTGCCAACTGTGTCCCAGAGTCCCTTGTGGGGGCAGAAGTAACGGCAAATTGCTGACACGCTTACAGTGGGTCAGGTCATGGCTGGATTGACCTGTGTTGGGACCGGCTTTGTTTGGCTTAAGAAGGGTCAAGAATAGATGTTTAACATTAGGACAATGACCAAATTGAATTGTACTTTCATCTCTGTACTTTCAGTTATGTGTGTGTCTGTGTAGTATTTTTGAGGGCAGCCAATATTTCTCCTCCAATAGACATAAAACCAGTCTGATGTGTTTCTTAGCCTTCTAATAAAGCTTTCATAGGTGCTTAAATAAAAGGGGCCAAATACAGTAGATTAAACTGAGAAGTTCTGTTGTGTTGGAAAGCATATGGCACTGGTGCGGTCATAGTAATATAATCTTGAATAAGGGTTTCCTTATGATTCCAGAGTATGATAGTGCTGCCAGTTTCTTAAACGCCTATGACCAATATATTTTGTGTAAACTACAGGGGAAGATGAGTTTAACACCATATTTTGTTGAGTGATAGTGCTAGCAAAAGTGATAGTGCTACAAAAGAGTGTGATAGTACATCGTCATGGTCCCATTCTTTAAGCACAGCTCTCAAAATGAAGGCTACCCGTCTGCATTTAATGGATTATAAAACGTTTTCAGTTCTGAATGAACAATGGGATGCCAGAGTGCGTTAGTGTTTTTTCTGTGACGTTTTCCTGAACAATTCCCATAAGTTACGCTTCTCTATCCATACTTGCCTCTGACCGATAAAACCAAAAACACAAACACAACCCTGCTCCATGACTGAGATGCTGCTCCTGCATATTGAATGAGGCTGCAGTGGATCAGAAACAGTCACTGATCTTTCAACTTTTTTTTCTCCACAGGGGCAAAGGGCCACTGAAGAATACGTCTGATGTCATCAGCGCTGCCAAGAAAATTGCAGAGGCGGGATCAAGAATGGACAAGCTGGGCCGCACCATAGCTGACAATGTAAGTCGTTAATGAAATCCATCCCAAAGGGTTTGATGTAGACTACACCTTTGTGCTTGCAACCTCAATATATAATTAGAATTGTATCATTGTGCCACATCGACACTGTCGGGGCCCAATAAATTAGCAACAAGCGCAGCAGACTCTAAGGACAAATAAAGGAAAATTACTTGCTTGTGTAGAAAAATTGTAGCACAAACTTTGTGACAGTGCTAATTTATGTTGCAGGCAGCAGGACTACATGAAAGATGATATTAAAATGAGAAGCTACAAATTAAGTCATTTCCTTCACGTCCTTGTTGTGAATTGGCAATGTAAAACATCAGAATGTGCTCAGGGCATCTGAACTTTGTTTAATTGGTCTGTATAGAAGACAAGGGCACATATGTAAATGGTATGTGGACCTGTACTTGTATAGCGCCTTTCAAAGCGCTTTTACACTACGTGCCACATCACCCTTTCACACACATTCACTCAGTGATGGCAAAGTCCATCGAACAGAAACTAACATTCATACACATTCACACAATTTGGGGTTCAGTATCTTGCTCAAGGATACTTCGACATGTGGCACCAGGAGCTGGGGATCGAACCCACACCCTTCCGATTAAGGAACAACCGCTCTGCCTCTGAGCCACAGCCGCCTGTCACTAAACCTAAGGAATAGTACTTCTAGCAAGCATCAGTAATGTATCGATAAGGGTTCCATTTCATCATTGTGACCCTAACTACTTTACTTCAGAGTTAAATTTACTATCTACTAAGTCATGAATGTTCAGACATGGTACAAGTTGACACCATGGTGTTAGAATGGAGTAAAGTTTCTCATTACCCAAATGCACAACTCGTTCTCAGCTCCTGTGTTGCTGAAGGGACTGACATTGCTGTGTGCTGTGGTGCTCACACTGAGCTTGGAAAAACAAAGCTTTCATAGTTATTGCATCTTGACACCCCTTCCTTTTGTTTTTAAATGTTGTCATTAACTTTGCTTCATGCAAACCAGATTTTAAAGACAGAGAATAAGAGCAAAATTTTTCTTTTGGAATATTCTGTGTCGAACCATGCCTGCTAAAAAAAACAACTTTTAGTACATGAAATTTCTTTTTGCAGAAATGCTTTTTATTTCATTATGTAATTTTTTCTCATTTGCACATTATGGAGAAAATCAAAGTAAAAAGCTCACACGGCACAGCCCTGCAGATGTTAACAACCGCTATGATTTGTGTTATTCATGAGACACCCTTACCAGTCTTTACCAATTTCTTTCAGGATCGAACACTCCCTCCCTGTCTCTCATTTTCCCATCTCCCGCTCCCCAATTCCCGATTCCATCATCTCTCCACGACTATCCCTTACCCCTGAGAATATGGTCCTTGACATAGGGAAACACACATTCAATTATCCATGGCCTCATATTTCACTTAAATACTTGCACTGTACCACACCTCAGGGAGACACTGTACATGATTTATCTTCCAACTTATTCATGGGCCATCTCTTAGGCAGAGACTTATTGCCTCTGTGACTGCAATATGTATACATTTTGTTGTTAAATCATGGAAGAGTTTAGTTGTGATGTGTGCAACCAGTCATGGTTGTCAGATTGAGGTCTTTTCCCGTAAAGCCATTTCTTGCTTTTGTGGTTTAGATCCACCAGCTGTGGGTTTCTTCCATTCTCTCCAAGAACACACGCTTGTGAAGGCACACAATGGCTTTAGATGTTTGCTATGAGATTTCCATTTTGATAACATTGGAGGTGTTTGGCAGTCTCTCCCTTACTCTGCTTTTGTTGACAACACTACTGATATGTTGGCAAAATGTTGTAACAGCAGAGAAGCCTCTTTGTTAAGTAATGAGATCATTCAAATTTAATGTTTCAGGGCTGACTACAACACATGGATTTTATTGCTATGCATCCGCCATTAACAAATCTGTTTGAATCTATTTTGCAAGTAAATATTTGTCTCTAAACACACCTAGTTAAGGCAGTGGTAAATAGTTGATTACATAGTTTAGTCATAGCTTTTTTCTACCAGTTGTTATGTAATGAGGAGAGATGTGGTGGGGCTACTGGGGCACTTATGAAATATATTATATGTACTGAAATTAGTAAAAAATAACATTTGCTCACATTCAGAGGGGATTTAAGAAGTATATCAAGTACCTTTGTCCTAGTGGTGCTCAATCAGGGGTTTCAATTATGCCAACACATGCTGGAAACATCTGCATTTAGCTTTCAGCATAGATCTCTCCCTCATAGTTTGACTTAATGAGCTGCTGGCGTCCAAGAGCCCTTCACATCTGATATTTTATTTAAGGTGCCCTTAGATCCTTAATATTACAGGCCCACATATATCACAAAGTACAAGACTGATCTATTCTGACCCAATTGCATCGGAATTATCTGAATAGGGAATAAGCCGTTCTGGAAAGTGACTTTTATGCCTCACTGCCGCTTTTGAAGATGCTTATTCACTTTAATGAAAACAGTGTTATCCCCCAAAGAAAACAGATGGGCAACTGTGCAGGTGTGTGTGTGGGTGGGTGTGTGAGTGTGTGTGTCTGTGTTTGTGTGTGCCGACATACAAGCACGTCTGTTGACTGGCCTGCCTCTCTGCAAGCACATGTGTATGGATGTGTTAGATTACTCCCATCCTCAATTATTTGTAAGTACTCTTTATCTTTTCTTCTGTGTATGTTTGTGTATGTACACTATTAGGGGATTTTGGGGTTTGAAGCACTCAAAGTATGAATAAATGAAGAGCTTTGTCGGTTGGAACAGAAGTCTTTGCCAAGAGTGAGGACCCCTCCAGCCTCTGAACCCATCCAGCTGTCCCTCTTAGCCTTTCTCTCTCAGCAGAGACCATAACACTAGCAGACCAGGCGACACTCACCCGTAACACATCAGCCAGGGCTCCCAGGGATGGACATGGGGTAGAGGGGAAAAGAATGATGGAGAGATGGGAGAGGTAGAAAGAAGGGGGGAGTGCATTTGTGTGGAGAGAGGAACATCCCTCCTGAGAGATGAATCCATTAAGAGTGCTTCGCCTTTTAATTAGCAGTATAATTGCCAGGTGGCAGGTTTTTTAAATTTATTTATTTACAGGCAGTTTATATTTAGGGACGTATCTCTAACAAAGCAGGAGATGCCACAGGCCTGTTTAAAGCAAAAGCAAGGCACGTTGGGATGGTCTACATATTCCAGAAGCAATAGTTAAGTGAATCACCACGAGATGCACACATACTGACAGAGTTGGAGGAGCAAAGGCAATGCCGGGACTGCTCATTAACCTAGGCATATTAATCACTTGTGCTCTGTGCCTCTGGCCTGGAGGCCCTATGTGGGTTTACTCCTCATATAAAACACATCGGCAGATGGTCCCAGACTGATAGCACAGCATCTTACCTCACATTTTCCTTTGCAAGACTGTGTCATGGCATGTTTTGATACATGCATATTGTGTTCAACAGAGATGTGCAGGTGGACATGGTCTAGTTTGGGGTTTCTGAAAAACAGTTAAATATGTGTAATAGAACCATATTAAAGTTTAAAGAAATGAGTGTAGTGCAGAGATGAGCTGCAGGATTTAGGTCAGTGCTGTACAAAGGTCTGCACTGCAGTTTATTAAGAATTTATGACCCTCCTCTGCAGGGCACCTTATGAGAATTCCATCTGAGCTGGCTGGTAAACAAATAATGCTATGTAATTGAGATTTATAATGCAAATGTGTTAGCCACTATGTAGCCCATAAATTTGTGGGGCTTGCCTGCTCACCACATAAACACTTGCATGTACACATACAAACACATGCACATAAAATAAGGCTTGCATATTTAGAGAATGGGCATGTGCTAGCTGTGTGTGTATGTGTTGCGTAAGCTTTATTCTCATGATGTATACTGACATACATAGTGTACTTTTCCAATTTGCATTCAATCAGTGGAGATTTATGGTGATCCATGGGCTCTGTTGCTGGTCACAGTCTAATCCCGGCTCTGGCCCTAGACGCTTTACAGCAGACAGGGTTGTAAATTACCTACTGCAGTGGTGGAGAAGCAAAATCACCCAGAGAGCCCACAAATTCTCAGCTCAGCAGTTCAAGGGTCAGCCCTCAGCCAACTGCAGTTCAGCCCAACCAAGTGAAGCCCACCTTATTTGCTGGTTGAGAAAATATATCAACTCCGAATTGATTGTTTTGAAAGCCAGGCATTTACCCACGATAATTCAATATTAATGTTTTTTTTGTTAATCCTGAAGGCCCAGGAATAAGAGGTTGGCCTTGAAAGAGCCACCTTTGGTAACCAAAGAGCTCTAAGAAGCAGAGAACCTGCTTGGAATGGCAAAATATTTATTGAGATGGTTATGTAAAGTTGTTAATTCCTCACCTGTGGACATACGCTTGATACCTCAGGATGGATAATGGTTTGGGCTAGTTAAACAGTGTATAGCTATTTAATATATTTTCTGAAAGCTTTAAGTCCTTAGGTATAGTCTTTGAGGCAGTCAGGTATTAAGTGACCCAAAAAGGAGTAAAGGGTTTGAATGTCAAAGTTAAAAGTATAAATGTTTTAACATGCGTGTTTGTACTTACCTATTTTGTAGCAGCGGTGTTAAGTTATCAGCTTTGCTTACAAGTACTACAGTGAAATGCCTGACTGACAGGTGCAGCCTGAACATTAAACATTGATGAGGGCCATTTAATTGGTCCCTGTGGTTACCTCTAAAGACGGTCTTTTTGGCTTGCCTCCAGCTTGATTTTCTCCTGTCATACCCAGACTCCCTGTCTGCTTCAATGTCACATTAACATTCCCAAGTGCCAGTGTGATTGAATCGGCCCCACGCAAATATGGAGCATCTTTTTAGCAGATGCAATGAGGAGAGGAGATCTGGCTATCATCATTCTGTTTGATATTGATCTTGATTGATATTGGTAGACCATGGCAGATTTATATTTAGCCATCAACAGTAACAGAATCAGCACCAGGCGGAAGAAATCTAA